TTGTATAATTGTGATATTATAATATTTGTGAGAGAATTATTTATTTTGTTAGTTACTTTTGAGTAACATAATTTCAAGATAAACTTTCCTTCAAATGGAAGGGATAAGGGTTCTTAAGTATTACGTGATTTCCGGCTTGAAATCACGAGGTTGCATTACAATCGTCATTCTTTATGCTGGTACACGGAGTCTCTCTCTCTTTCTCTCCATTTGGCTGTAACAGTTGTAACGGAAGTTGGCCAGCCGAACACATGCTCGCGGCGCGACATAATATATCACGTGATATTGTAACGCGTGGCTACACGAGAACGATTTGTTTTATTGAAATCAATTGAAATTACTCTCCCGTGTGTGTACATAAATTTAAAAATGAATATTATCCGCACGTACATGTGTATACGAACACTTTCGCGTGCTTTACGAAACAGAAATTCGTGCGAGCAAAGACTCGCAAGATGGGAGTCGCACAAAAAATTCGCGTATCCGTGGAGAATAGCGGATCGTCTTTTTTCGGATCAACAACTTTGTTCCGCTCACAGCATCACAATGTGCACCGGTATTTTCGGGCATGGATTCCACACTCGCAACGGCCTCTCATAGAAAGAACGCGTACGTATCTTACGTACGGCGTTCGTCGCGAGAGATGATAATTCGCGACATAAAAAAGGAGAGAAATATATTTTTCAGAGATTGAGAGACGTGGCGAGCCCGACGTGGACGGCGAATTGCGTTGAGCAATACGCCAAGTACGGAATGCGCGACACACGAATGGAGCCGTCCCGATTTTGCCAAATATGGGATTGCGCGCGCAATGTGTAATATTGTAAGTCAATACGACGCGAAAGAGACGCCGATGACAGCGCGGATAAAAAAGAGACACCGCGAAATAGACACAGCCGCGAGAGACTCGAATTACACCTGACAAGTCGCTATCGCTAATTCATGTGCGACGAACACGGACGTGTTTTAAAAGAAGCCGCTTCGCAGCTATGCAGATTTCGACATTCGCCATAAGGAAGTTTATGCAAAACAGTCGGTGTAGCGTTGCACGTGCTGCATCTCACGAACCAATGCGCGTTGTGCGAAAACTATCGAATTACTTACACACTCGGCGGTATGAATATTTTCGGTCGACTTGTTTGCTACGCTCTGTGCGTAATCAGCCATAACGGCTAAAAAAACACACACAATATATGATAATAACGGGGAAATAATAATGATTCGTGAATTCTAATTGCAGATGTCACAGAGGTAATATATTGACGTGTCAGCTAATTAATTAATTGTCTCTGCAGCGAGATATGACAGTTGGCGCGACACAGCAAATGGAACGTACAAAAACGCGTAGATAGTTGCTTATTTCTAAAGTCTATTGTCATTACGTGTTGACCAGTGAAAGAAAAACTGAAGTCGTTTTAAAGCGTATCGCATTCCTTATCTCTTGAACTAATGGTTCAGTTGTGTAAGATTGAATCAATGTTTTTGAAAGCAGTTTAAAATATATGTCGAAAAAATTTAAAAAAAAAACAGAGATAAAACTAACAACAAAACACGGTATCTTTTTTTCAGACATGAGATATGTTATCGCAACGAACCTAAAATACGATAGTCAGAATAATATTAGTCGCGTGACAAAACTAACGCTACAGAAATATTTTAGTTTTTGTTTTTATTTTACAAAAGTGTGGCATTTAACAGTTAACGAACTGTTGTTCGATATTAATATCGTTATCATATGCATTTTGGATATAGATTGTTTTTTTTTTATCGTTGACAACTATTTTGCAAGTAAAAAAATGACTGACAGACGAGACGCTGCGACAGAGCGGAACGACATTGAAAAAAAATCCAATATGCGCTCAGACTTTCTCTTCGACGGTCAGGTTGCTTGTGTAAAATCCGGCCAGACCGTCTCTCGAACGCCCACAGATCGCACCTATTCGCGTGCGATTGGCTCATCTGAAACCTACATCCGATACTCCCGAATCGCGAGAATCCCTGACGACGACGCCAGGCAATTCCTATCCCGCGGGACCGGTTCGCCCCCCTGCATTCACGTACGCATGCGTCACGTATCGGTGACTGTAGTTCTCCGTGAATGCAAAAAGTAGAGTGGGCGAGAGGACTCGAGAGGACCTCGTCAGGTTCGACCCACGTTTGCTGTTAAAGTAGCGCGGTCCGTCGTGAACGCGCGCGCTTGTGCACCGAATCTCACGTCCGTGAGCGTTTTGTATGACGATATTTGAAAAAAAGGCTCTTCTCTTTAATTAAAATTAAAATTAACAACTCTCGGATCGTTACAGCTTTCTCGAGAAATCAATTTTCTAATCGATGAAGCGATCGGTCAAAAAGATTGTTCTCATCGCTTCTGTCCGATATTAGATGCGATTATTTATCGTTGATATTGTTTATAATTACGGCACTTTTTGTTCTTGCACAACGAAAAAAACTGAGTTTCGTGATCGTCTCGCTACTTTCGCCCGTGCTATAATTACTTCTGATCGTTGCTTCTTTCGGTGTAACTACCTGATTACAAACTCATTCAGCTTAACATTTCTATTATCTCGGCATCGTGTAGCGAGAATAAACCTGTTACGATTATTTTCTTATTAATTACGATGACGCGTGCGTTACATACATGTACGTTAATTATGTACAATCTGACAGGAAGAGAGTTGAGGTGTTTCCTCACTTTATCTCTCGTGCGAGTTTCAACCTATGAATATAGCTATTAATACGTTCCTTAGGTTTATTGTCATTCATCGATATCTTAACACGCATCTTTTACGGCATGTCAAGCGCACGCTCGTATATATATATATATATATATATATATATATATATATATGTAGCTATATATATTGTATATATGTATATACATATATATATATATATATGCATCGCTTACATAAGCGGTATTAATCGGCTCGTCTCTCTTTGCGTGTGTGTACGCGAGCGCGCGGCGCTTACCTACGCGCGCGCGGCACCAATCATACGCAATCCAGAAGGTCCGATCTATGCCAAGGTTGTTCCATAAGTAAATGACATTCCATGTGTTTTCGAGAGAAAAACAATCTGTAAATTTGTAACTTGCACCCCACGTAAACGATAATTGATCGATTATTAATCAATGTTGAATTGTGACACGGTTTGAACCACATCTCGCCTAAATTGATCGATTATCGCAGTCTATTAATTGCACGACAAGTCAGAGTTTCTATAATAATGCAGCGCACAGCGCGTAGAGATGATGTGCAATTATATCGTCGATAAAATTATCCAACGCAGATTTTAGAATGATCAACAATAGCCGAAGATAATGACTATCACTCACTTGAGCGTGTCTAGTTGTTAATAGGCTGTAAATCAGTAGTTACGCACAAGTAGGTCAATAGAACGGAGATACAATATACAGTGTTCGTTCCGACATTCACTGCAGGCGCGCAACACTTGAATTATTATTTATTCAATCGCGTAGCGTTTTTTTTTTTAAGAATTATCATCGCTATACAAAGAAAACACCGCAAAGCAAAATCCAAAAAAAAAAAAAAAAAATTACGAGTAGGTATTGATATTCTCCGACGTGAGCGAAATTGATTATCTCATCGACAGATCAAGATAATAACGAGATTCTCTTGGGAGGAAAGGGGGTTCGTGGCTCGACACGCCCTACGGACATAATTACACGATCGATTCTCTCTTGCACCATTTTATTCTCATATCGTTTGAATTTTCATCACAGTGCTGTCGTGTATATTTTTGGTTTTCGCCAACAATAGATTGTTCAGCGTGCGATAAACTCGGTTGTTTCGTCGCGTATTGTATTGTCCGCGTGCAATTATTCTAACATCGGTGATTTTCCCGTCGGATCCGAATGGGTGAGGCAGTTCGCGTAAAAACGGCAGCCCGGATCGTCCGGGTCAATAATGGTAATGGCCAATTTGGCACGCGAAACGGCGGCGATCGTTAAGGTAATTGAAGGCGTCGGGCGTCTGTTTTTTTTTTTTTTTTTTTTTATTTCTTCGCATTTTGTTTTTCAAGTCGGCCGAGTATTTGATCGCGACTATATTGACGCGCTGCTATTAGGGTTAATTGTTTGCAGTAGAAGTTGCGTTAATAAAGTGATTTTGCAAAACGAAGAGTTCGAAGAGAGCGTCTCCTCGAGTAATTGCGGCGCCGTTGCGACGCTTCTTCCACCGCGGAAATAAATTTACGTTTTAAATATTTGCAACTCTTTGCTAATAGTATCGCTTAATGGCGTTTTATTTACTCTCTTTTCTCTCTCTCTCTCTCTCTCTCTCTCTCTCTCTCTCTCTTTTTCTCTCTTTCTCGTATTTGTGCGTGGAAAATATACGCACCTTATATATAAACGCTGTTCCGCAATCAATTGGATGGAATATCGTTTCGCGAGTCAGAAGATTACACGGGATGGAAATTAGCCTCGACTCTCGCGATTGAATATAACATAGTTGGCGTGTATATATAATGGAAAGATAACGAGAAAGCAGGAAGAGGAGTTAAGGAAGATCGATGAGACGAGCGGAGGCATCGAAAAGAGTGGTCTATCAGCGAGATACGAGATTGCCGAGGTCGGTAGAATAATACACATTGTAGTGCTTTCTCTTCGTGGGTGAGAGCGAGGCGAATTGTACAAGAAGCGAACAGTATGATCGGCTGCCGAAGTATAAGACTATTGCGTGTAGTTGCAAAATGTGTAATTGACGGTTCTTGACGTCTCAATGGGGATCTGACAGCTCATACGCGAGATCTTGACAGCGAAAGCCGAATATAATTCACTGTCCATTAGTCAAATCTCGCGCGCGGTTAGATAGTTCCTTACGCCATATGATCGAAATAGCTCGCGCGAGCACTGACCTCGATCTCGGAAACACGAACGCGCTAAATGTGCATCTTGTCAAGTGCCGCAGCGTAAGAAAATCTTGATAATCTCGACGCTTTTGGCAAAATCACTTACGACATGTGTAACTTGTTGTTTTCAGGGCGATTGTGGGCGCACCGGAAGCCGAAACGCAACAGAACGGGGTCTATCGGGGAGGCGCAGTCTACAGATGTGACATCGCGGTTGATGACAGGTGCACCGTGATCAACTTCGACGATAAAGGTAATGAGATCGTTGATATTATCTCTCGACTTTGACGAATGACATGTGTCTTCAGTAGCGGATTGAAGAGACTCCAAATGCTATAATTTAGATAATCCGATGATAATTTTGTTTTTATCTAACCGATAAAATATAAATTGTCACCTGCGAATGCGTTGAAAGGTACAAACAAAAGACTTCCGTCTTACGTTCTCCGGAACTGCGTTCCTGTGTGTTCCCGCTAAGCAGCTGACCCACATTTCGCCTTCCCTCTGCGCCAATGTAGCTTCATAATCTCGAGAAGCGCGAAGTAACCGCGCGAACTGGTTACAAAACCGCGGCTATTCTTAGTTTAAAGCCAATACACCCACCCTACGTCGTTGACCCTACTATATATTTTGACGCCTGGCGAAATTGCTCGGTACAACGGTATTGACCAGGCACGATTTATCGCGTCTAGTGCGCGTACACAAATAAGAAAAGCGCTCTGAAAACAAACACTCGCAACAAACATCGAACACGCATCGCTCGCTTCGGATCGTTAGAAAATTCTAAAATGCAATTAATACAATAATTACATCTCGGAGTTCGAGAACGGACGATATTTAACATACAAGACGATTATGCGAGCTTCGTTTTATAATATAATACACTAATTTCAACGGCGTCCGTAGAAAGTGCCCTTAACGAATCCGATTACTACCGTGAATTCGCGCTCTCTATCTGCCGCGCGATGTTAGCGCGCGGTTCATAAATCCGCGGAGAAACGTTGCGTAAAGTCTGGCGGAGCGAGTAACGCGAGCGCGCGAGAACTAATTAAAGTGGCCGCGTTTCAAGCACATCGTCGGCTCATAAAGTTCCCTCGGTAAAACCGAGTGGTTAAAAATATTGTCTGCACACCACGCCGCGATGTAATCTTTCGCCGCGCCGCAAACACGCGCGCGCGTGCAAATCGAACGCGCTAATGTAAATTAGCGGGATAAACTCGCGGCAGCGCGCGGATTAGACGCGGTTGCACACACCTCGCAATAACGCTCCCGGTAATCTCGACGCCGATTCCGATACAGGCCGATATCGACGATTACTGGTTCGAGAAAATGAGATTGACTTGCTCCGAGGGATCGGTCGGGAAATCACGCTGATTGCCGATTTCACGTTATATTATCCGGTAAATGGAGCGGAAAAAAGAAAAGCGCGCGATCAAACGCGCGTGATTAAACGCGCGCGCGCGCGCGAATATGTTTCCTCCGTTTTGCGCCTCGCATGATTGAATAGAATGCGCGAACAGTTAAGTGGCTAAATATAATATTTTGCACAAAAAAAACACGTGTGATATTTCGCACGATTTTTATTGTCGGAATCATAAATTGAATTTGTTTCGAAGATTTTATCCGAGAGCGCATCGGGACCGACTTCCTTCGGTCTCTTCGCCGATGTTTCTCTCCTTTTTTGTCGTTCTCTCTTCGGCGCGTTCCTTTACACGAAGAAACCCTTTCGTTCGTCGCGTATATACAAGAAGATCTCGAGTTGTACATCCAATTAGTCGGCGCCCGCGAGCGAACGATTTCGCTTTGATCGATAATTAGACCGATCGTATGCTCTATCCGTGCCTTGATCTTGTCCAATTAGGATCGTACTATGTATTCGACCATGTGTCGATTTCTTGGCGCGCGCGATTTTCTCGTGCGCGCGCGCGCGCGCACGGCGACGAAAACATCTCGATCATTTCTCACCTTTTGCACACACATCGTCACGCGAGACCGGACTTTCTCGCGATACTCGCGCGCGATACTGTCGAAAGGTTGCTGTACGTACTCCGATTCGAATCCCGATAATGACAATCTTGAATTACTTTCGTTTGAGTTTACGTAAATAAATGTTGTAACTTGAAGAAACTGTTTAGATATTAATATACTTTTTAAACGTCTGCGTTTAATAAATTATTACAAATTTGCATTATAATATAAAAAAAACATTTATTTGCTTGTTTCTGTTTTTCGAGATGTTTTCCTTTTCTACGCGTCAGGAGAGTCTAAAAATTTCAACGCTACGTAAACAATGATATTTAATATCGACATTGCGAAGAAGAAGAAGAGATTACATAAAATCGCATTCGTCCTTCGGGACCGACGTATTTCTTTTCACGTTTACACCGGCACCGGGTTTAAAATAGTGGTGGGTTAACCGTCCGGATTTACAGTGTGTGTCGCTGAAACCTCGCGCACACGAGGCGAGTCGTTCTCGAAAATAGCTTCTCTGCCTCGTTTCGCGATGGAGCCTCTCGACGAGAACAATATTATTATTACTTCAAACTGTAGAATGACTTGCTACAGTCAGCAATTTGTACAAGACGTACTAACTTTAGCCGCGCGCGTGCAGTTTACTCGACGAAAAAACAAAACCGCGGTTAGTTCTCTGAAACTTTAGTCGCGTCTCTTTTCCCGAGCAAAAAAAATAGGAAATCCGGCTGAAAAATATTTTTAGTGCGCGATGAAAAATAAGGAAAGAGTAAAACAATTCTCGAAGATTCGTTCTCGTTTTCGTTCACGTTCATGTGTATCTCACTGTTCCATCTGCGAACACGACGAAGTGTCGCACGATCCTAATCGCACGTATCGCCGATTCCACCTGCGTACGAGGAAGAGATAGGCCTCGCGCAGGCCTCCTCGAGGTCACTCACTCTACGGCCACTCGAGCGAGGAGTTCGTCTCGAAGTACCTACTCCTTGCCGAGTGTCGGGACGTCACGGCGGACTGTGTCTCGGGATACTGAGAACCTCGCGCGCGTCCACTTGCAAGAAGCCGACGATGCCTAATACAGAAAACCGTAAGACCGTTCTGCCCTAGCCCTGCCTCTTCGAGAGTTCGGCATTTCTTGTCGCGCGCGAGTTACTCGAGCGCTAATTTCCGGAAGTGCTTTTCTTCGTCGTCTAATCATCGCGCTCGTTAACGAAAGTAATGCAGACAAGATCGATCTGATCGTCGTTCGATTATCGCGCACGAAAAAAGTTTATCAACAAATTATGTTGGCGCGCTTGCGAATTTTATTTCAATCTATAATTCGTCGAGATCCAAATAAAAAGAATGTTTATAAATATTAATATTTTAATAATGTAAACGTGATTTATATAAAACGGAGGAATATGTTCTAAATATAATAGTTGTTGAATGGCTTGGTGATATTAATTCTGGTATCTGAGACTGTACTCTCCGTTTCCCAGTCATACGATCCGGTAAGGGTTGGGAGGCGAAGGACAACTTCCCTTTAAGGACCAAAGCCGACCGATACGGGCTAACGGGTCCGTTCGGTTAGCAAAATCGACGAAGAAAAATGCGGGATGCACTTGAGGTTTCTTCACCGTGACACCTGTCCGCGACTCTTCGCGCGAGATCATCGAACGATGATCTCGCAAGGTCGATCTCGCGCGTGTTGTGTGTCGAGTTACCTTCATTAAAGAACAGTCTTAAAAAGCATTATTTTCCATCGATTTTATATTCGTTCGTATTTATTTTATTTGTTTGTATTTTTTTTTATTTTATTTGTGAAACGATCTATTGCTTCATTATATTTTTACAAAACAGAAATTATCTTTTCTCGAATTATTAGCGAAGCGATCGATTCTCTATTTGTTCGCGTGATTCAAAGCTGATGCATCGCGAATGAAAACCAAGTTTCTATATTTAGTCGGTGTAGAATTTCTTTACGGCGATGACGAAGGATAATAATAAAAAGGATTCGAAAAAAATGCAATTCACGAATCGACCATTTTGTGCTTGTCCCGGTCTGATATCGCGTGGCTGGCATATTCTTCTGTAAATTACCCTCCACAAATGGTGCCATTGATATGATGAATATCACGAAGGTTGGTGGGTTCGGCCAGGATTAATCTTTACATTGCGCGAGATAGTGGAGTCGCGAACGTCAGTGAGTCGTCCTTGCCGTTTTATTCCATTCCGTTTCACCGTATTCGTTCCATCGCGACATATTAGGTTACTTCCAGATAAGTGTGACTGCCCGACTGGGATAACTAGATACTAATTCTTGCTGTCGATATACGTTCTCCGATTAACCGCACTGAGTAATCTCGAGATAATTCGGTCTTGTTCAGTAGAACACAGAGAAACAAAAATATTTTCAGCTGTAAATTGTATTCGATCTTCAATATATTTTTGTATTATGCAATTTTTTCACGCTTTCCCAAGAAATATTTTAAGTTGTATATCGCGCGCAACGATTTTTCTTTTTTAGTTTAGATTTAAAGGCACACTATATGATGCCGATTAAAGAAAGAGAAAATTTTTTTATGTCACAGGACACAATCACGTCAACGATCCGGCGGCGATTACCGGCTTGAGTCAGATCGACAACAAGACGTTGCAATGGTTCGGAGCTACAGTATCGGCGTCGAGCAAGGACGGAGGTCCGATTCTGGTAAGTGCGATCTCAGATATCGAAGTGCGCGACTTGCACTTTAACCGAAACGTCAGCGCATCATCAGCGCTGTAATAATTCTTCGACGTGATAACGCTCGAGGCACAGCAGCGGTCATTAATTACGAGCGTATCCAATATATAACGTTGGATTTCTGATTAATTATTTGTGCCTTGTATTCAATTGATGTTCAATCGGCACAAATCTTAATTATAAGTATTAACGTGTTACGTGTCTGACACATCGCGATTTAAAATGGTCTCTATCTTTTGACGAGAGTTCGGTATAAATTATATAAATTATAAGGTGTGTATGGATAATATAAAAAATGTATTATTTTTAGTTCAGGAAAGATTATTATCGCAGCGAGGAATGTTAATTTTCTTTGATACATAACGGTGTATTATCGTTTATATTTTTTAGAAACCCCGTTACGGGCGTTTGATGAAATAAACGATACGCGCGTGTTGATGAAAACAAGCAATGCGGATTTAGTTGAATTATATCAGTTTCGCTAGATCGAATTCTTTATCTAAAACCGAATTAAAAAATGACAATAGTGGACAGATTTTAATGAAATCACGTGAAACAATCAGGAGACCGTTAATTGTAACGTTATCTTTAAAATCTCGTTCACGGGATTTGTAAAGTTATATAGAGCGTCGGATAGATCTAAAAGATTACAGGCGTACGTTCCCAGAAGGCCGCCAGGCCTTCTATTTCAGGGATCGAAAACAAACGAATTCCCTGCGCGTTCCTCGTTTCGTTTGTGACGTCGAGACGTCTCGCGACCGAGGCAAATTAGCACGGAATTCAGAAGTCAGGTTATTTACTTTTGATGAACCAATCGACGTAAACGGTAAAATTCGAGAGAATCATAACATCATTTATCGCTGTGTCAAAATTTCTTAAATTTCTTGCAAAATCAATATTTATGAAATAATTTATGCATTTTGTTTAATTTCTATTTCGAGTTTTTGTCTCTAATAAATTGCAACTCTCTTCAGTCTCGTCTAAAGCCTTCGTACAAAACCGTTTTTGTTTTCTCGTTATCTGATTCGACACTTGCCATCTGCGATATATATACGTAAAGTCATTATCCGCCCGCTCGCAGCTTCCACGTAGATTTCCAATTCAGAATGCGTGTGAGACTCCGTTACGTGACGATCCGGCACGTTCGCAACGTAACACACAACCGCCCTTTGCGCGTAGATGCGCTTCTCGCAACGCGTGTGTTTTTCCCGCGCAAAATAGGAGGGTCGGAATACCTAATCTAGCGCGAAGATCTCTGCCCTTTCCGGAGTCCCGGGTCCTTTTTTTCCCTGCAGCTCGAATGCCGCGCGGCGGTCCCTATGATGTACGAGCCGCCCTTATCTATCTTTATGTACGCTGCGCTTACGCGCGCGCAGGAGGTTACGCTCTGTACGCATGTGCGTATGCTCATCACGCGCGGTTGCGGTGGCCGCTATAATGGCGGATGCGGAGATTGAGCGAATAAACAGGGGAAAAAAAGTAGGAGTCAGGAAACTTGCATTCGCGAATTCGCAAGCGGGTAGAATTTCATTAACAATTTGTAAGCGTATTTAGCGCAGCGCGCTCAGACGCGAATTAAATAATAAACGTTAAATTTCAAATAGTTAATTTTTTATATTAAACTTTTCAAATATGTTTTATATATATTGTGATATTTGTTAAATTAAAAATTTGAGAATTTGTTTTCGCAAAAAATGGAAGAAAGATAGATTGTAGAGATTCTTGAATCAAATAAGTAATTCTTTGACACCGTGTGCCGACAAGAATAATCCTAAGTAATTGCCCGATTAAAAATGATATGAGAATGACTAGGTGAATTTCAAGGAAATTTGATACGGACGGTTTGAGTGGAGTCTCGGGGCGGACAGCGGCGAGGATGAAAGCTATAAATAAGGCCGCATTCGTATGTGAGAGGCGTATTAGTGATGATTATCGTTCTCATGCTCGCGTAATTTTCACATAGCGAGACGTCGCTATCCCGTCAACGACATTCCCGTCCGTCTCCGACGTGCCGGACATTATGCCGGAATTATCTACTTACTCCAGAATGCGAGACCGCGCGTTCTTCGCGTAAACCGCGTGGTTTTTTCCGCGTTAGCTTTTCCTCGCTTTCTCTCATATCGTTCTTTTCATGCAATCTGCAAATCAAAGATAAGTAACTACTGTCATCGCGCGGCCGCGAAGAAACGATCGGCCGACCGATTGAAAAAGAATTGCATTATACAGGAATATTTTTTTAAATATTAGAAAAAAACTGCATCTGTCGATTTTGAGTTTGTTCTTCCTATGCTTTTGGAATTTGTTTTTAGTTTTATATACGTGCTTTTTGTTTATTTGAAGTATAAAAATAGATTTACAGACATGATAAAATATGGTTTCTTAATGACAGTGATTAATTACTTCGTTCATTAGAAAATAAATTGTAGGCAGTGGAAGTTGCTGAGTGTGTCTTCTTTTACGACCGGAGGTGCGCGCGTGAGTCGCATGTGCGATGTCGCACGCAGAGGGTTTAATGTGCCGGTCTATGGCGCTAAAACAATGTGTCGATGCGCCGCGTTATTCCCGTCACGCTTGGTTGACGTCTGCCGGCGAGTCTTTCAAAAAATTTATACGCAAACGTTAGGATTATAAACTCGCGTCTAAAATACGGTACTTGAAATAAAAATGATCAATATCACAACAGAACTGTCTAATCAAATTAATAAACATACGAATAAGCCACACCGAAGAAAAAGTTGTTTTAAAATAAATATATGGTTTTTGAAATTTTCTTTTCTCTTGTTTCTGCTTTTTTAGAAGGAATTATTTCTTTTATTTAAACAAAAGTATTTAATTTTAAATAATATATATACTAATATTCTATATAATATTATACTCTATATTGTATTATATGTATTATATACATACTACAGTAATGTCACTGACCTCCGCCGCGCGACTTTGGCGGGGTCACTGACCTCGGTCGCGCGGCCTTGGCGGGGCACTGACCTCGGCCTTGGTGGGGGCGGGGTCACTGACCGCGGGCGCGCGGCCTTGGTGGGGGGGGTCACTGACCTCGGTCGCGCGACCGCGGCGGGGTCAATGATCTCAGTCGCGCGACTGCGGTGGAGTCACTGACCTCGGTCGCGCGACTGCGGCGGTGTTACTGACTTCGGTCACGTGATTACGGTATATATATATACATATATGCGTATGTGTGTGTATTATATATAGATATAGAATATTACATATAATATATATAATATTCTTTTTTTTACCCTTTTCCCTGTCACGTGTTGTTTTTCTACTTCTTTATCTCACTATTTTTTTAGTTTGATTTTCATGCGTTATTTCTGACATTTCTCGTATGTGTATTATATGGTTTATAAGACGTATATACTATCTGTCATCGCGGTGACAGGTTGTGTTCACTGACAACACGTTAAATAAAAATAACAATAGCGTGCGCGTAGCGCGCGCCTGTGTTGTGCTAGTTCTAACAAAAACTTGTAGTAAATATTTTATAAATATTGTATAAAATTAAAATGTATTAATATAAAAAAAGTTGGTTAAAAAGTGATAAATTACGAAAATAGACGTCAATGACATTTTGCAAATAATCTAGCTTCTGAGCGCCAGAAGCGACTGTCATTTTATCCTGTAGAAGTTTGTTAATATTCTTTGTCGGCGAGGTAATGATTCATTTTGATCTCTAGCAACGAGTTTCACGCGTTCGATCGTCGATCAACGATCACTGCAATTGCCGTGCCATTAATCGCCCCCGAGACAAAAGATCGTGCGCGAAGATCACGCGCAAAGGTGAACGAGGGCGGTGCAAAGTATCGGAAGGTTTATGTAGGCAACACGTATTGACTGTAAAGTCACGATGTAAATCTTGTAAATTGTAAAAATAATGAACATTCTACTTATTTTGTTATAAACAACACGAAATAAACGTTAATTTAATGTGACATGTAATTATTTTTATTTAAATATATTCAATCATCTATTTTTCAACTCGATATTGACCTTCATTATTCTTATTGTTCATTTAATGAATTAGATATATCTGTTGTGACGATCTTTTGCCGCTACGCCACTCTTGTCTCTTATAAAATATACTCACGCACATTTTTATCCTTACGTTTTTATATTATCCGTTTTTTTAATATAATATAATACACGGCTAGTATTAATAAATTAATTCTTCTCTCTGATATTACGCACGCGACGCCGTCGGTCGTTGATGCGTCGATGCGACTTTAACGATCTCGTAGTTACAAGGACGGTACCTACTGAAAGGTCGCTTCCTGGTTGCCCTTTTATTCCTCCGCGGGCAACGTGTGAATAGGAGTAATTTGTAGGTTGCGCGGAATGTTAAGGTCTCTTTGGTCATCGCGCGAAATCGGCAAGTGCAATATTCGCGTCAGAAATAGAAAGACCGGCCTTACGGCGCGGCGGATCTTTTTATCGCATTCCTCTGTTTCGCGCATCCTATGCCGGACGCATCGTCCTTTTTTACCGCGATCCAATTCAACGGCACTTCTTAATTCGTTTTTTGATCGCGTCCCCTCTGGCTCTCTCGCCGTCATTTCAAAGACGCGGCTTTCGCGTTGATTGCTACCAGATGTTTCGCGTTTCGAACCTTTCTTTTTGGCGCACTTCCTTTCTCTCTCCCTCTCTCTCTCTCTCTCTCTCTCTCTCTCTCTCTCTCTCTCTCTCCCCAAATAAAGCGAAAGTGCGAATCGCTATTATTCGATGCGAGAGATTTTTGTAGGTGATATGCACTTTCCACCACGTAAACACTCGTTCATCGATGATTCGATGATTCGATTGACTGAAGTATCGAAATATCAAAGTCGTGGTGCTTCTTTTCTCACACAGTCAGGTGTTGTCATAAATTTTGCTACATCGACAAAGCTTGACATTTGATTGTAATACAAAATCCCGTGCGAGGAGATTTGGATGCGTTGACCGATGCAGACTTG